TCAGATTGGGAATGTGCTCGATCTTACGTGCCAAATGTTCTCTATAATTACGAACATATTTGTTAGTGGCTTCAAGTGCTTCCTCTGATAAAGCACCGAGCGCTACATTGTCATTTTTTGCAATCAGTTCACAGCAATGAAAGAGCAAAGGAAACATTATTAGTCACGTTCTATAAATTGTGAGTGATTCAGTATAGAAAAATATGTGAAGAATGGAAAAAATATCAGGTTCGTGTGATTCTTATAGGAAGTATGTAAAAACACGTCCAAATTCTTGGCTCAAAAAGCCAAAAAATTTGTTTTCGGAATTTAATATGCAATATTCTACTTCATTAGATGCAGTTTTTCCCACTGATCTCGAATATGTATAGATTATATCGAAAAAAATCATTTTAAGGTACAAAAAGGCTTATTTTACCCTGAAAACCAACGAATCTTTGAAAATCTCCAGAGAACGCCAGGGTGATTTGGGCGACTATGGGCTGATACTATAGACAGAGGTGGTTATGTAGCTCATCCTTGCAAAAAATGAAGGTTCTTGGAGCTTAGCAAAATTTAGCGATCTCATAGCATTGAGTGAAGCTTTTAGCAAAATCACGTTTTTCCGGAAAAGATCAAAATCTTTTTTAAGAATGAGGCTCGAGAAAAGCTTTTCCCATGCTGATTGGAAGCCTACCTTTCGCTGATTCCGAATATGGCCTCAGATTAATGCTGACGCCAAATTTAAGTCGAGAAAATGCGGTTTTTCCAAAAAGATACAAAATAATAGATGAATTTTTCCGACCAACCTTTTCCCGAGAGGAAAGGGCTTCGGATAAAAGTTATTTTGCCGTTAGATAGCCCGTCACTTGAAGTATATAGGTCAATCTTCAAATCAAGAAAAATCAAACTTCATCTTTTTGACCAAATTGCTGCCTAATTGCCCACTGTGCCGCGCACATGTTCATTAGATCCGCCATGGTCGATAACTTGTAGCAAAATATCGACAAATTATTGAACGCTCAAACAGTTTTTAAGTGAAACGTATTTTACGGAATCAGAACTTATTTTGCGTTTTTCTTAAGTCTATTTTTTAGCTTCAGGCTTTCTCCATTCACAGGAATTCTTGGTAACGATACATCGAAGGAAGTTTTTCTTTTTTTTGATTTGTAGATAACACCTATATGTAAGAGTTGACAGAATCCGATTTTTAAATTATGCTTGTATTTTTTATAGAAATGAGGATTTCTAAGAAACCTTCCAAGGATTTTTGGGATTTTAAAGTTTTATTAAGCACCAAAAATCAGTAAATGAGAAATTCAAAAATCGGGCTCTGTCAACTCCTAGGCATAGGTGTTTACTGCAAAACAAAACCAGCCCGAGCTCTCTATCATTTACCTGGAGTGAGAATTCTTGTGAATGGCAGTGGACACGTATAACTCTACACCAATGTGTCGAAATCACTTTATGTACTTGTGTCACTTTTATGTACTTGTGTCACTTTAAAAATAACAAATTTAGACACATTAGTGTACAGTTACACGTGTCGGCTTTACTAAATATGATTTACTCTTCTGTTTTCTTGTACTTCAATTTCATTTTAATCTGTTAATTTTGTTGATTTTGATTTAATGATTTAGATTTCTTGATAATGAAATCATAGATTTCGAAAGCTCGAAAAAAAAATTGGAATGAGTTTATTCGCCGCTGTTAACGCTCTACTATTTATGGGTAATAATTTCAATAGAAACGCTGTTGTAACGGCAACTATTTTGAACTTCATTTTATTTTTTCATTTATTAATTAAAATTGTTGCGACGTTTCCAACAACACAAAGTCGAATCTGAAAATTAAAATCATGAGCGTTTGAAGACTCTCATTAAAAATTTCATATTCAAATTCTCTGTCTACATACATTTTTAAGAGTATTTTACTACTCTATTGTCTGCATTTTTCGGTTTTACAAATTTTTCGGTTCTTGAAAATGAATACTATGTTGCTTGAAAAGTGGAAACAATTTTAATTAATAAAAATAAAATTAAGCTTAAAATAGGTATTGTTACAATAGGATTTCAATTGAAATTATTACTCTTTAACAAACGGAATATTTCAAACAGTGTTCATTTTCAAGAATTCAAATGTAAAACCGAAAAACTCAGGCTTTGAGTGGTAAAATATTCTCAAAAATGTATGTAGACAGAGAATAAGATGTACATATATATATATCCATAGAAAGAGGGATAAAAACACGTTGTATACTTATTTGATATATAAAATACTTTGTTTATGCTGAATAAATACGTTTTCTAACCGCTTTTTAGTTACAGAAAAAGTCAGCTCTTTGAAAGGATGCACTGATCCTGACTACTTCTTTTTTGAATGCATAGTCAAGCCCACCGCGTATGATATAGAGCGTCTGCTATGGGATACAGCCAAAAGTTAAGTTGAAATGAGACCTTGAATTTGGATCAAATCGCTTCTAACGTAAAAGATTAGGTCCAATGTAGGGTTCGAACACATGCTGTTACTCTGTTAGGAATTTCCTGTTATAAGGCATTTCTAAAGAAGATCGAGTTTTCTGGTTTAATTTTTATTCATTATAAAGCTGAAATTCATGATCGGTCTAAGAAAACTGCATTTAACAATCTCTACTTAAGGCAGAGCTGAGACATAAGTCTTGTTGAACTTCTGAACGCTGATTAACCACACAAAGCAACTATGTAGTTGAAACACATCTAATATTAACCGTTACTCTGAAAATTTTAGAAAGGAGAAAATTTACTATATTTATCAAAGAGCAATAAAAGGGCTTTTTGTTGCATTCGATCTTGAGCAATCCATGATCTTGAAATAAGGTGCAAGCCTTTTTGATTGTACAGGTATGCTGTATACGGAGGTGTGTACTCGCAATGAACATTTCAAAAAATAAATAATAAAATCGCATGACTGCGATGATTTTTTTCAATTAATCTCGTGATATTGCGCAGTTTCTATTCCACTCTTAGTGAAGCTGAAAACTGATAGTTTTGAAGAGATTAACTTTTCTTAGTAAAATATATCATATCCACGTCGTCTCTCTTGTTGCATTACTCTATCCTCAGTATCAGATTACCAAGTTGCAAATATATAACAATGGTGGAATACTGGTGAGTTATTAGGATAATATTTGGTTGAACGCTCTATGTCAACTCCAGGAAGCATGTAGTGATTTTCAGTGTGTTATGTTTGTCTGATTTAGCTTTTCAAAATGATGAGATTGTTCCCACATACAATCTTCAACATCAAAATCATGTTGATTGTTCAATTTATCAGACCGATATGGACATAGTTAATTTACAGCCCTTTTTCATACCTCTCAATACTCTTAGAATAATGAACGGTGTAATTGAAGGGTTTACTGTTAACTCTCACGTGAATCTTTCATCAAATGTGTTTTGTTTAAAACATTTGAGAACACTCACATTACAGAATGCAGGCTTGAAACTGTTACCAGATATTAAAAATTTAAAAGAATTAACAACATTAAGAATAACATCGAATAGAGAAAGCGGTGATAGTTTACCATCTGAAATTGGTCATTTAACAAAATTAGAAACACTGCAAATAGTGGACGTACCTGAACTTAATCACTTACCAGCTGAAATGGGTCATTTAACAAAATTAAAAGAACTGAATATAATTAACCTACCTAACCTTAATAACGTACCATCTGAAATTGGTCATTTAACATCGCTGAAAAATTTAACGTTAACGAATTTACCTCATCTCAAGAATTTACCTTATCATGATGATGGAAAATTGATATCACTCGTACACTTAGAAGTAACCAATTGTACTAGTATTACTCACTTACCAGGAACAATGGAAAATTTTCAATTATTAGAAAGATTTACGCTATCAAATACAAATGTATCTATAGTTGACATCAAAAATTTAATCAGTTTACAACAATTTAAGTTACTGTTTAACAAATTATTAACAATATTAGCATTAGAAAAGCTACCAAAATTAAATACGTTACAAATTCAGAGTAATTCATATTTACCATCAATACATTTGAGCGATTTTCCATCATTAACTGATTTAAAAATCACATCAAACGCGGATTTATTATCATTACATTTAGAAAAGCTGTCAAATTTAACCGCATTAGATCTATCATCAAATTCAAACTTGTCATCGATATGGTGTGAAGATTTAACAAAACTACAAACATTCAGCTTATACTCCACATCAAATCTATCAACAGTAACATTGACAAATTTAGCTGTGAGATCAGTGACTATAACAAATTCAAAATTATCATCAATATTCTTATCAAATTTACAATATTTAACTTCATTAGATTTATCTTCTAACCCGCTATTGACTAGGTCTATCCTTTTAAATGAATTACCCAATGTACTAACATTAGATCTATCCAACTGTCAGTTTGATTCATTTCCCGAAGAGTATTTAATATTGCAATCATTAACTACGTTAAAACTGAACAACAATAAACTAACATCATTACCATTAACTATTTCAGATGATTTATCAAATTTAAAATATATATATTTAGAAAGAAATCAATTTACACATTTACCTCAACCACCATTAGTTCATGTTAAAGAGTTATACATGACAGATAATTTATTGACAAATTTGAATGGTATTAGTGGTTATAAATCATTAGAAAAATTGGTTTTAAATTATAATCTCATTGGATCAATACCAGTTGAAATAGTTGGAATATCAAACACATTAATGTCTTTAACAATGACTAATAATCCATTAAAACATGTTGCAAATCAATTTGCTAATATGAGACGTATGCAACTTCTTGACGCAAGGTACAACAACTTTACGGACTATGAGAAAAATATAGTAACGAATCTACTTGGACCTACTCCAATACGTTATGATTTTAGTTGGAGATTGTAATAGAAATAAATTTTAAGATTAACACATGGTGGTTTTTACATAAAATTTTTTCCTAATGAATTGCTTAGTTTGGTGTGGGTCATTTCAACAATAAAAATGTAGAATTAATAGTATCAACAACTGAAAATAGATTATTATTATAAATATATAAATTAAAAGTTACGTTTGTCATGCGGTCTATCGGCTATAAGTTAAAATGATTATTTGGAACCTTTAGTTTTAGAATGATCATATCTGTTCTGGCGCTTCTACAGTTGATAGTACACAGTGCCGCTACTTGCTATTGATCGTAGGTGAACTCTTAAACCTAATGAACATAATCTGTTTATATGTTCTTATTAATGAATTATCAGAGACCAAATAGAGATTCAACCGGGTGCCGTGTTTTTGGTCTTAAGATAATAACATCGCTAGTGAAAAACAGATAGTCTCTCAGATTGGTACACTGATACACTAAAAGCTAAAAAAGTACCGTTAAAAAAAACTTAAATATCATTATGAGAGGGCGAAAACAAAACGCGATTTTTTCAGCTCTCTCATAATAATATTAACTTGATAGTAATTTTGGGATCTCTTGTTGTATAAAAAATACAAAGAAAATAAATGATCCTTACCATAAATTTTCTATACATGTTATCTCAACGCCTTCTCTTTCTGTGTCGTAAAAAGATATAGTTTAGTTATCAAATTTATAACACAGAAAATCTTATTAAATTCTATTTTAACGATCAAAACTAAGTCCCTTTATCAAATATTTTATATTTCTTTTTAGCAAATTACGAGTTCTTCTTTTTCATGCATTTTTGCATACGACAGACAAAATTTTTACTAATACATAGGTTCACACCACAAGAAACATAACACGTTTATATTGATAATTTCCAGGTATGATAAAACTTTCATATTCGTCATATTGAAGATTATGTACTAAAAAGCTTGTCGACATGGACTTGAAGGTTTTTGCGTGAAACGTCGATATGAGTGGCATGAAAATAATACCACGGTTAATAATTTAGTGATTGTTGCCCTATTACTGAGTTCATTTAAACTGCATTACGACACTTAAATTAAGCAAACACTCCAGCAGACGTTTAAATTGTAGTACTGCACTTGAATCAGAAATTGGTAAAAAGAGGTAATTCTGCATATTTATAAGTTATACTCACCAGTTTCTTACAAATTCAAAATAGTCATTTTGTTTAATGATCCCACGTTCATTCATCCGGCTCTTTTGTCTTGAGTATGTTTTATTTTGATGATATCCAGAATCAAAGAAAATCGGCGAAACTAGTCACATTAACTTTATTTCGTCCACTAAGCGCACCATATAGAGGCAATGTAACTAATTTTACCTATTTTATTTTATTTTGAATTCTTGAAAAGAACTGGTAATCAGTGCTCGTTCTTAGAACGAGAGTTGGTGACCAGTTCTCAGGAACTTTAGAAACTGTAGTAAAAAATGCCTATAGAATTAAAAGAAGCGAGAAGAAAAGAAAAGAAAACACTTTGAATTGATGACATCATATTAAATGTACGATATAGACTTTAATGTTACGAGAGAAAGAGAGACAGAGCGAACACACAAAGGAAATTATATGAAAGTGACTGCAGTTCTTCTACAGTCTTTGGGTGGTACCTATCTACGCAGATAGGGGTGAGTCAATTCCAGTTCAGTTCTTTTGAACGAGAACTGGTAATAGTTCTTTTCAAAAATTAAAATTGAAATAAAACCGGTGAACCTACTTACTAAATCCCCCCCCCAGAATAGAAGGGCATGGCTTTCTCTTGTGTCCCGTCGGATCAAACTTTTTAGGGTGGCCTTCTATTAAGAGTGGCCTTCTAAACCGACCTCCTAGATAGAATTTTCTA